TTTGCCTTGGGTTTTTGTGACTGTATTCCCTGTTGATGCATGTTTACCTGCGTCTTTCCTATCCTGACTAGCACTAACAATGGAGCTCTCACCAGTTGTTTTTGGTAATGTATCCTCAATAATGCTAGTGGAGTCCCCTTGTTTGCTATCTCCTGTGGTATTACTAGTTTGTAAAATTGGTTTTAACTTGTCTTTGACTACACTTATTTCCTCACTACAGCTCCTGTCTCCCTCGGGGTCATTTATATGCATCCCCTCCTGCGTACATTTTCTGTCTCCCAGGACAGCACCTCCAGCTTCACCATTACTGTCTCCCAGGACAGCACTATCAGCCCCACATTTACTGACTACCGGGGCAGCACCTCCAGGCTTACAGTTTCTAACTACGTGGCCAGCATCAAGGGCGATACTATCCAGCCCAGACTTTTTATTTTCCCCATCTGTTATAGAATGCTTCCAGGTTGTCTATGAAGGCTGCTTTGGTGTTATCCTCTTTTAACACCAATGTGATTTTAGTCCACAGATTTATCTCATTTGGGCATACCCAAAAACACATCCCTGATTTAATACTGCTTGTAGCTAGTTCTTGGATATCTGCACAAGGGGCGTGACACCAATTTTCACAAAAAATGGCAATTTATCCATATGGAAGCCCGTTTGTTTGATTGGCTGCAGATTACACAGAGCTTCATAATGATTTGAATGGTTGATTTACTGTAATTCTACTAGTAACCTCTTGAATACTCTATTAATAACCTCCTTAAAGTGAAGCTCTAGCTATTTGTATTTCTATTTCTAACTGTACTTGTATATTAGGACAGCTTACCGGTGTATGTTCCTGTTTTATATTTATTGTTTGTGTTTGATAAGGGCGCCTAAAACCCCATCTGTTTACAGTCTGCTTTATTGTCCAAAGAATTTGGCTATCAAATGAAAGAACTACTGGAAATTATTTAACCGAGTAATATGTGATTTGACTGATACAAAAGTATAACTTGCATGTTGAATAACCGGTGATTGCTATGATGACACTTGTTGAACCCAGGATCACTATGACGGCACTTGTTGAACCTAGGTTCCCTAAGATGACATTTGTTGAACCCAGGTTACCTATGATGACACTTGTTGAACCCTCATCCATCATCTTAGAAAGGCTTGAATTCTTCCAAAACTCTCAAGCGTAGTTTTGATTGTTAAAACATTGCTTCCTAAATCAAGAGTTTAGATAAACGTCTGTTAATGTTATGGTTTTAATAGAGTGAAACTATTATTCCATGTAAACCTTGTTATTTGTGTTTAATATTTAATTTCTAAAGCTTGTTACTGCCAGGTTATTATTCATTAAGTTTAATTAGTGTTGGGGTAATTTTTGTTTTCAATGTACTAAATTTGTTTACATAACTTGGGATTGCTGGACTCTGTGCGACATCTTCAGAATGCACTTTCGGATCCGCTTCAAACCTCAGCGTTGGTGTGTTGTGAAGACAGCTAGATGTGTTCAGTCCATCACTCACAAGAGTGATGGACTGAACACATCGACTCCAGGCTGAGTGATTGATTACCTCAAACTCCTCCTCTCCTTACCCTTTCTACTTTGTATTGGACTGATGAAGGCACTGTGTGGCGAAATGTTTCTCCAATAAAGATTCCCATATGTTACATGACATTAGTTTGTTGGACTACGTATTGGTAGAAAAGAGACTGTTGAGTAGACATCAGGATGTACATGTTTATAGAGGTCCCACAGATATATCAGATCACTCTTCAGTTGTAGCTACACTGAGAGCAAAAGATAGATGGGATACAAGGATAATGGAAACAGGAAGTAAGAGAAAAGTAAAGGTTCATAAACAAAAGGAGGAGGCTGTTAGGGTAAGATATAAACAATTGTTGGAGGACATATGAGCTAGTGAGAGTATAGGCAATGGAGTAGAAGATGTATGGGATAAGTTTAAGAATATAGTGTTAGAGTGTTCAGCAGAAGTTTGTGGTTACATGAAAGTGGGTGCAGGAGGGAAGAAGAGGGATTGGAATGATGATGTAAAGAGAGTAGTAAGAGAGAAAAAGTTAGCATATGAAAGGTTTTTACAAAGTAGAAGTGATGCAAGGAGGGAAAGTATGTGGAAAGAAAAAGAGGGGTTAAGAGAGTAGTGAGCAAATGAGAGAGCGGGTGAGATGTTATCAACAAATTTTGTTGAAAATAAGAAAAAATTTTGGAGTGACATTAATAAGTTGAGAAAGCCTAGGGAAAGAATGGATTTGTTAGTTAAAAGTAGGACAGGAGAGTTCTTAAATGGAGAGTTAGAGGGAATATTTTGAGGAATTGTAAATGTTGATGAAGAAAGGGATGCTGTAATTTCGTGTATAGGGCAAGGAGGAATAACATATTATAGGAGTGAGGAAGAACCAGTTGTGAGTGTGGGGGAAGCTCGTGAGGCAGTGGGTAGAATGAAAGGGGGGGTAAGGCAGCTGGGATAGATGGGATAAAGATAGAAATGTAAAGGCAGGTGGGGATATAGTTTTGGAGTGGTTAGTGTTTTTATTTAATAAGTGTATGGAAGAGGGTAAGGTACCTAGGGATTGGCAGAGAGCATGCATAGTTCCTTTGAATAAAGGCAAAGGGGGCAACAGAGAGTGTAAAAATTATAGTATACCTGGTATACATGGTAAAGCGTATGGTAGAGTAATTATTGAAAGAATTAAGAGTAAGACGGAGAGCAGGATCGCAGATGAACAAAGAGGCTTTAGGAAAGGTACAGGGTGTGTAGACCTAATGTTTGAAGTGAAGCATGTAGGTGAACAGTATTTCGATAAGAGTAATTGTGAACATCAAAATGGTATACAATACCGACAGGTTGTTAGGTAAGACACATATGCAACAGTTAGACAACTTTATTCCGAAACGTTTCGCCTACACAGTAGGCTTCTTCAGTCGAATACAGAAAGTAGGCAGGAACAGTAGAGATGTGAAGACGATGTAATCAGTCCATCACCCTTAAAGTCGTAGAATTTGAGGTTGTCAGTCCCTCGGCCTGGAGAAGTTCAGTTCCATAGTCAGTTCCTGACTATGGAACTGAACTTCTCCAGGCCGAGGGACTGACAACCTCAAATTCTACGACTTTAAGGGTGATGGACTGATTACATCGTCTTCACATCTCTACTGTTCCTGCCTACTTTCTGTATTCGACTGAAGAAGCCTACTGTGTAGGCGAAACGTTTCGGAATAAAGTTGTCTAACTGTTGCATATGTGTCTTACCTAACAAGAGTAATTGTGACATTTTTGGATTTGGAAAACGCCTAAGACAGGGTGGATAAGGAGGCAATGTGGCAGATGTTGCAAATGAATGGGATAGGAGGTAGGTTATTGAAAGCAGTGAAAAGTTTTTACGAGGATAATGAGGCTCAGGTTAGAGTATGTAGGCGAGAGGGAGATTCTTTCCCAGAAAAAGTACCTTAGACAGGGATGTGTGATGTCACCGTGGTTGTTCAATATATTTATAGATGGAGCTGTAAGAGAAGTGAATGCTCGTGTGTTGGCAAGAGGTGTAGGGTTAAAAGATAAAGAATCTAACACAAAGTGGGAGCTGTCACATTTGCTCTTTGCTGATGACACTGTGCTTTTGGGGGATTCTGATGAGAAAGTTGCAGTTGTTGGTTGTTGAATTTGGTAAGGTATGTAAAAGAAGGAAATTAAAAGTGAATGTAGGAAAGAGTAAAGTGATGAGGTTAACAAAAAAATTAGTTAATGGAAGACGGGATGTCAGATCAGAGAGAGTGAGTATGGAGGAGGTGAACGTATTCAGATATTTGGGAATGTACGTGTCAGCAGATGGGTCTGAGAAGGATGAGGTGAATCATAGAATTAACGAGGTGAGAAAGGTGAGTGGTGCACTGAGGAGTCTATGGAGACTAAGAATTTTATCGATGAAAGCAAAGAGGGGAATGTATGAGAGTATAGTTATACCAACGCTCTTGTTGGGCATGTGGCATGGGTTGTGAATGATGCAAGAAGGAGAAGGCTGGAGGCAGTGGAGATGTCATGTTTGAGGGCAATGTGTGGTGTGAATATAATGCAGAGAGTCTATAGTTTGGAGAATAGGAGGAGGTGTGGAATTACCAAAACTATTATCCAGAGGGCTGAGAAGGGGTTACTGAGATGGTTTGGGCATGTAGAAAGGCTGGAACAAAATAGAATAACTTCATGAGTATATAAATCTTCAGTGGAGGGAAGGCGGGGTAGGGATCGGCCTCAGAATGGTTGGAGGGAGTGGGTAAAGAAGGTTTTTTTTTTGTGCGAGGGGCTTGGACTTCCAGCAAGCGTGTGTGAGCGTGTTAGGAGTGAATGGAGACAAATGGTTTTTAGGACTTGATGTGCTGTTGGAATGTAAGCAAAGTAACATTTATGAAAGGATACAAGGAAACCGCAGGTCGGACTAGATTCCTGGAGATGGGAAGTAAAGTGCCAGCACTCTGACGGAGGGGTGTTAATGTTGCAGTTTTATAACTGTAGTGTAAGCTCGCCTCTGGCAAGACAGTGATGGCTCGAGTGATGATATATGTATATATATATATATATATATATATATATATATATATATATATAATATATAAAATATATATATTATATATAATTATATATAGGATGGGGTCCACCTCTGGTGTAAATTGTGGGACCCATAGCCTCGGAGAAGTGGATAAAAAGGCTTAAAGGGAAAAATATTTGGATTTCTTCCTGAAGCCGTTTGAATATTCCACTTCCCCTACCACCCCATCTTTTCATATTTATTTTTTTTACTAATAGGAATATTTTATTACATAATATGGTACAGAAGATTTAAGAGATACAATATTGATATAAATACATATATATACATATATATACATATAATTTTATATATATATATATATATATATATATATATATATATATAAAAATATATATATATATATATATATTGAATTCACAATGATTTTTTAATGCTAAATTAAAGAAACTGACCTGTGATGTTGAGAGGAATGAAGAAGAAGCGAACGCAACGTTCTGTATTGAGTGTCTTCTCAGCTCCTCTCCTAGTTAACTTTATGTGTATGAGACAACAGCACAGTCTGTGCTAGTTCAGTCTTATCTACCAGAGAAAGGTAATGAAAGTTAACCGGGAGGGTCGAGGAGATAACCAATAATCTTACCCAGTATCAGTAACACAAGTCATTGTGATGCATCACGCTTGACGGTCACCTACCACTTACTACCTTACGTTTATATGTATAAAGTTTGTATTTCATTGTTTGAATGCTGATTTTCCTTATCAGATTATATATTACATCACAAGGTAGTTAATATTGTTTTTACATCACTTAATCATTGCTTGTTAGATACATCAGTTTCAGACCATACCACGGGCGGGATTGAACCCGCGGTCAGAGAGTCTCAAAACTCAAGACCGTCGCTTTAGCCACTGGACCAACTAGCCAGTGGCTAACGCGACGGTCTGGAGTTTTGAGACTCTCTGACCGCGGGTTCAACCCGCCCGTGGTATGGTTTGTTTGCAATCGTGTCATTACGATTTCGTGAAACAGTTTCAGTATTGAAAGATTAGAAAAAATTACCATCAGCTGGTTTAAAATGTTTCAGAGTTATATTAAAGCGAACAACCGGCTCTTAATAGTCTTTTTAAAATCCTCAGAAAGGCAAAATGTTATCAGATAAGTTAGGTACAAAGTTACGATAAATGTTTACTGTTGCAAAATGCTTCTCATAATTTTCCTGGTCTCAGGAAACTTACCTTGACCAAGGCAAAGAAGACAAGTTATTAGAAATGATAAAATCTAGGTAAATTATTTTGATAAATAATAGAAATTTTTCGGGTCAATTGTGTTCCACCTGGAGTATTATCAAGTCACAATTATTACACTTGTCGCCTGAGGCGGACATAATTCTGGCAAGTTATTGAATGAATGATGGTGAATGTGTTTCTTTCTTTTTCAGTGTTACAGCAGATTGCAGTCTCCAAAATTAAAGAGAATAAATATGGTCTTCCAAAAAGGATTCATAATAGATATAAAATACGATAAATTTGTAATATTTCAGTATCATACACAGTCTTATGTGACACAAGAAGTTATAAATACGTTTAGCATTTAACAATATTGTATGCAGGTCCTAAAACAATGTATTCTTTACAATCAAGGTGTAATGACAGTGCCGCAGGGGTGACGCATGTGGTGCCGCAGGGGTGCCGCAGGGGTACAGCAGATGTGCCTCAGGGGGTGCCGCAGGGGTACTGTGGAAAATACTGTATATATTTTCCGGAAATACAGTATTTTATATGTAAATTGATGGCCTATATTGTAGGTAATAAACATTAATTTGTAAATAAATAAAGAGCCAGCGATGGGTGAGCGTCGCTGGGGAAGAGACGCCGTTGTTTTTGAATGTGGTACATGTGGTACAGGCACGCTAATGTAATGTGCATAAATTTTCGTTGCTCTAGGGGTTATATTGAGCTTAAAACCCCTAAAAATAGGAGCCGAAATTGTTGGATTTGCAGTCCTGCATAACGTGAGCATTAACCAGATGGACAGGACAGCTTCAGAACCCCAGCTAAGTTGTCTATTTGTGTTGAAATTCTGGCCAGTATTTTCTTCATAAATTTAGGCAGGGGGGGGGGTATGACACACAGTAATCTCCTGACAAATTGGTGAGTGTTATGATTATAAATTCTCCTTCTGTTACATAAATGTGTATATGCAATCATTTATTAATTTTAACATACAGTCCACATATTTATATTAATGTTTACCATAATTCATGGTAATGTACATTTCATTTGAAATTAATATAGGTCAAAAGTGACTTGTGGATATGACAGTAGTAAGTATCGATGGGGAATATTTTTTGTGACCTAGGTGTCCTAAAATTCCTACTTGTCTCTGTAACTTTGATAAAAAAATAATTATCTTTGTTACCATTTACTGGTATGTATCTGATGAGTTACATCCAGGTAAATTTAATTTTCCACAGGTACCATAGGGGTACTACAGGAGTGCCGCGATATTGCTATTATTTTTTTTATTTGTTGTATAATTAAATACTGCAGGAGAGTTGCTATAATTTTTTCAAAGTGACGTCATTGAATGATAATTATAGTCCAATAGTAAATATATAATTAATGTTAAGATAAAGTGTATTATATTATTATATTCTACTGTAACCTCAGATGTTTTAAACAGTATGTTGCTCTTTAATTTATCATAGACAAGTTTGTAATCAAGAAGACATGAAGATTATTGTAGTGAGAACGATAAGGAAGACAAAAGTTGAAATATGAGTGAGAAAGAAAGAATATTTCCCACTTCTGGTAAAACTGATGTGATTAGAAGGAAAAGTTGTCTATATTTGGTCAGTTATTTAGATCTGGGATTTACTTGATGTGATGATGAAGTTAATCCTACGTCAGAATGTGTTATTTGTGGTGATAAACTGAACAATGAAGACATCACAACCAGAAAATTATGAGACATTTCACTATGAAACATAATCATCTAACAAACCTCGATCATACTTTGAGAGATTGTTAAATGAGTGAAGACAACAGAGTCTGAGATTTTCTAAAACAGTCAAAATTTCTAATGAAGCTCAAGAGGCCAGAAACTTAGTAGCAGAATTACTCGCTAAAAATATGAAGCCTCATACAGAAGTAGATCAGACACACTTATTCTCCATGTTTACAACACCTTAGTAAAAGTGATGATTGGGAGTGAAGCAGAAAAAATAAGCTAAAAAGATTCCAGTCTCAGTAATACTATTAATAGACGGATATAGTATAGATATAGTATAGCAGATATAGTATAGAAAGTAGACCAATTAAATCACGACTGTTTAGCAAACAATGTGAATATTCTGCAGACGGAGGCAAGATGGCTGCCCAGAGGCAAAATGTTGTGACGAGTGTATGAACTCAAGGATGAGTTTCATACTGTTTTTTTTACCCTTGAGCAGCAAGAAGAAGTTTTCTGTGTTGCTTGCAGATGACAGTCTAAAAAATTACACTACTTACTGGATATCTTTGAACATTTAAGCAAAGTTAATTCCAACATGCAAAATTAATTATCTGAGATAAATTAAGAACTTGGGCTGTCAAAGGGAAGGAAAGTAACAAGAATATGTTCCCGCATGTTGCTGCAACAAAGAATAAGGAGATAATGCCATTGATTTTTTATCATCTTGAAGTACTTGCAGAAATATATCAGTACTATTTCCCAAACTTATTTAGGGAAGAATATTATTTGTTAAGAAACACATTTATATCATCAGTATGAGGCCCATCGAAGCTCAGTCTCACAGAAGAAGAGGAACTGATTGAAGCAAGTAATGATGGAAGTCTGACATTGAAGCTTAAGGATGTTTCTCTGGAGGAATTTTGGATAGAAACCGAGAATAAATATCCGCAAATTACGATAAAAAAAAAGCTGTTGTAATTCTCGTTCTGTTTTCCACATATTGTGTTAATTAACATTTTCTGTGTTCACAAACATCCATCTAATATCAAAATCTGCCAATCACAGCGAGCTCAAATATCTGACTAAATAAGTTACAGTAGACAAGTTAGTTTATGTTTGTTTTGTTTATTTTATTGTGATCTATTATGCTTGTGTAATACTTACACTAACAGCCTGGTGTATTTTATATTTTATGTGTGTGTGTGTTTAATGAGCTTGTATGTTTATATGAATAATAATAATAATATTTATTTGATTTTTTTATTAACTCATCAGCCGTTCCCCACCAAGGCAGGGTGGCCCACCAAGGCAGGGTGGCCCACCAAGGCAGGGTGGCCCACCATGGCAGGGTGGCCCACCAAGGCAGGGTGGCCCACCAAGGCAGGGTGGCCCACCATGGCAGGGTGGCCCACCAAGGCAGGGTGGCCCACCAAGGCAGGGTGGCCCACCATGGCAGGGTGGCCCACCAAGGCAGGGTGGCCCGAAAAAGACTTTCATTATCATTCACTCCATAAGTGTCCTGCCAGAGGGGTACTTTACACTACAGTTATAAAACTACAATATTAACACCCCTCCTTCAGAGTGCAGGCACTGTACTTCCCATCTCCAGGACTCAAGTCCGGCCTGCCGGTTTACCTGAACCCCTTCATAAATGTTACTTTACACTCCAACAGCACGTCATGTCTTAAAAACCATTTGTCTTTATTTGCTCCTATCTAACACGCTCACGCACGCTTCCTGGAAGTCCAAAACCTCCTTTACCTCCTTCCAACCTTTACTAGGCCGACCCCAGCCCCGCCTTCCCTCCGCTACAGATTTATACACTCTCGAAGTCATTCCATTTCGTTACATTCTCTCTACATGTCCAAACCATCTCTATAACCCCTCCTCAGTCCCACACCTCCTCCTATTCTCCAAACTATGGATTCTCTGCATTATATTCACACCACACATTGCCCTCAGACATGCAAATCTCCAGTGCCTCTAGCCTTCTCCTTGTTGCAACATTCACCACCCATGCCTCACACCCATTCTCCTCTTTGCTTTCATGGATAAAATTCTTTGTCTCCAGAGACTCCTCTGTTCAACACTCACTTTTTCCCCTCATCACTTCTATGATTTACCTCATCTTTCATAGAACCATCTGCTGACACGTTCACTCCCAAATATATGAATACATTCACCTCCTCCATACCCTCTCCCTCGTATCTGATATCCAATCTTCCATTACTTAATTTATTTGTTATCCTCATCACCTTTCTCTTTCCTGTATTCACTTTTAATTTCTTTCTTTTACATACCCTACCAAATTCATCCACCAATCTCTGCAACTTCTCTTCAGAATCTCCCAAGAGCACAGTGTCATCAGCAAAGAGCAACTGTGACAACTCCCACTTTGTGTTATATTCTTTATCTTTTAACCGCACACCTCTTGCCATCACCCGAGCATTCACTTCTCTTACATCTCCATCAATAAATATAATGAACAACCATGGTGACATCACACATCCCTGTCGAAGGCCTACTTTTACTTGGAAATATTCTCCCTCTCGCCTATATACTCTAACCTGAGCCTCACTATCCTCGTAAAGATTCGTCAATGCTTTCAATAACCTACCTACT